CCTTAGCTGACAGCATCTTGCGAATGTAGTGCTTTGTGCAGTGGCTGTGTGCTTTCCCGACATTTGTATAAATTTAAGAGACTTAGATTTCAATGTATTTTTTCCTTTTTTTTTTTTTCCTGGTTTGTTCATAAAATGGAACGTTTTTACATAATCGCTCCAATTGTTTCCTTTTTTCTGGGGGGGGAAAAAAAAAACCCCACTCCGTGGAGTCAGGGAGAGGGAAAAGAAGATTAACTCTCGCATGTTTTCAAATGGCATCGATGCATTCTTTTGTGTGTTGCTCTACCAGGAACTAAGTATTTGACTTGATTAACTTAAAAAGAAAAAGTTGGCGTTTCTACCAGATGGATTTGTGGGCAGATTATAAAGGTGCCTGTCGGAGCACTTTTTACATGGTTGTGGCGGCGTGCGGTAGAAGGGTTTAAAATGCGACGTGGAGCGAGACCCGCGGTGCCTTCTCTGCCTCGGCAGGGAAGTGCTTAGGCGCCTCGTTCCGCCGTGGCTGTGAAATGTCGCTGCTGAAGCCGTGTGACCTGTTTGCTTTCCGTGGGAAGCGCTCCGGCAGCGGCAGAGCTCGCTCCGAGGGGTGGGCTGTGCCCGTGTGGGTGCGCGCTCGGGGCTCCGGTCGAGCCGCTCCTGCGGCACGGTTACTGTCACGGCCTTCCTGTGTCTGTCCCCAAAGCGCAGCCCTGTCCGTCCCGGCGTCTGCTCTTGCTTAGGTGTGCCTGGGGTTTGCGAAGCTCAAATTTTTATTTTTAATGCAGAGATGCTCCACGTCTCTTTGGCCCTAGGAGGACTTGTCAATCCTAAAGGAGGTAGCGCAGGAAGGTGTAAAACTTGCCAGGGCACATCTTGTCTGCGTCCTCCCTGAAAAAGGGCGGTCTGGGCTTCGGCGGAGCTTGCTGTGAACCTGTGTTATTAGGCTCGCTGGGACTTGCATCACCTCCAGACTTGTCTGAGTAAGTGGTAAGGGTTTGGTTTGCGAAATTCCCGGGGCAGGCTGAGTTGCCCATATAGCGAACAACCCACTGGAGTTTGGAGCACGCGGGAGCCCTTCGATTTCTGCCCTCCGTCTTCATCAATTCCCAGCTATTTTTTTTTTTTTTTTAATTTCTGTTCTAAACAGTGGTTATAAGGGCCCTGGCCACGTGAGCGTTGCTGCTTTGACAGGCTGGAAACTGGAGACGTTACGTTTAGCGTTTCACAACTGGGTTTACCTTTCAGTTCTGCTTTTAAAAATGAAATCTTGTCCCTATCTCCATTTCATAAAAACGTGGCTCGGGGTGAATTGACTTTTTTTTTTTTTTATGTGCTGCTTTTTGTGTTCATGATGTTGTAATAGCATTTTTCTCAGTCTCGAACATACAGATTGTCCGGTACGAACGTTGCTTTTGAATGGGGGAAGAAAACTCGGAAAACAAACCCACAAAACCTCTCCGGCAAAGCGCCGGGCTTTCTTTCTTCCTTCATGCGTGGCAGGCAACCTGTTCAGATTATTTTATTTTCTACTTATGTTTTAATTGACCGAGTCCCCCCCCTCAAAATGCTTCTGAGCAAACCGAAGTGTGTCGCAGTGTCGCGCAGCGTTCTTCCGCTGTTCAGTAGAGCAGACAAATGTATTTCTCCAGGGTCAGCGAAGACCGGTCGTGTTAATCGATACAGTACCAGCAGCGTTCCCTTTTCAGTAAACCAGATGGACTGCTTACAACTGGCGGTGATTATTTTAACTGTGTAATTGTAACATGGCTGCACGATGACAGCGTTTCCTGCAGAGACTTCAAAGGAAGGCTCCTGACGAGTGGATCTCCACAGCGTTTAATCTGCGCTCTTTGTCTTTATGTTGTGGCTTTTGGACATATGTTTGAAGTACTAAGTTGGTTTTTTTTTTTTTTTTTTCCTTTACCTCCTGCTTTTCTATACATTAAAAGAAGGCAATACCCTGTCATCATAAAGTGGCTCAAGTATGGGAATAAACCCAGGTTTAGCTGCTTTTGGGGGGCTCCCACAGTGGAGCATTGGTTTCAGTCTTAGATCCACGCAGCGACCAAGGCAGAAACTAGGAAGAGCTTTAAGTTTCCGCGAGGAAACAGCAGTATTTTTTGAAATAGTGCTCAAGTCGTCTCTAAGCGTGCGCGTGGCTTTGTTCTGGGGGAAAATAAGTTCTGTGGTGACTTGAGCCTTAACTGGGACGGTCTAATTACTCGGTGAAGAAATCCTTCTCCGAGGGAAGGAAACGCACAGGACCGGAGCTGGTTAATTACATTTTGTAAAATTACCGAGTGACGGCTTTCTTACGAGGTTAGCCCCTCTTCCTCCCTCCGCGCCGAGGACCTGAATTTCAGGCTTGGCAGTCTGCCTTACGGATTGAAATTCCTCCTTGGTATTAAGATTTAATGGCGGTAGATACATAGCAAGTAGTGACAGGTACTACTGCTTTTCAGTACAGCAAAGCAAATAATACCTGGAAATATTTACATGGTGGTTGTTATTCTAATTGTATTTCCTTGATGAGGCTCTAGTAGAGGTGGCTTGATGCTGCCTCCATCGTGAGTGGGGACTGCCTGTATTTCTGTTGTAAAAGGCTGGGGAGAGAAGCCGGTTGTCTCCATAGCAAAGATTTTTAGTGTTCCGTGATAAACTCGCATATATTTTTACCCCATCTAATTTAAAACAGTCTGCACGACACTTTACAGGAGTGATTTGTATGCAGCTTTCAAATATTTTCTTTTTCCTGCAAGAGAAATCAGAGGCGCGGAGC